GTGGCGACATATCGGCCACTAAGCCCGATTCACAAGATGCATGTTCGAATCCTAGCAATGTTAATATTTTTATATCGCTCATTAGTCATAATACTCATTCATAAGACGCTATTTGTTGACTAAATCGATAATGAATGAATCTCTCTTATCGGACATAGGCAAGCAATTTTAACAACAATTTAAATGTTACCGAAGTTGTACTTGACATTCATATTTTGCTGCCTGCTTTAGAACTTATTAGAGTAGCCCAGCTTAAGCTGCAATGGTAGAAAGAACTGTTTATTATTAAAATTTGAGATTAACACTACATATTTTTATATAAAATTTAAATGTTTAGTATAGTTTTAATAGGAAACACATACGTAGTATTCGTTGTGGTTCGCTAGTCTGCGTAGAACCATAAAAAAATATTGATTTAAAAATGCCAAAGACAAACATACAAGCATTCATTTGGGATATATGATGACATTTTAATAGAAGTAATAAGCAATAAAATATAATATTAAACAAGTTTTTTCGAAGTTAATGTTGTACTGTTTAAAGCCACTTTATTTGCTTCTTGATATAGATATTTATGTATGTCAAAATACTTAACTTTAATTATGTTTTGAATTTCAACTGCAAGGTCTATGTTCACTTGAGACTACGTAATAAATATATGGACTCTCATCACACACCTCATAGTAATTATGAAAATATGACGGCGATGTATTATAGTGCATTGTAAACACTTGACAATCAAAATCGGAACTTTACGCTATTACCAACAAATTAAAGCAGATTTTGATAGTTAGTTAGATTTGATAGTTAATTAGATTTTAATGCTGTTATATTAGTAACACATTGATCTTCATAACGTTAAATTGCGGCATATTACGTCTAAAATGTAGGAAAATAACCGCCGTTTGAAAGATTATAAATTACCTGTCTTGTAATATATTGACGAATTCATAAACTGTATCTTCAGTACGACTTTTAGATAAATATTTTTAAACTGAATATGCAATGTTTTTAAAGATGGAACGATCAAAAAATTGGTATGTTTAATGTGACAGTTTCTCCACAATTTTTTTCACATTAAACATGCTACATGAAGTGTGTTGTGTAACTGTAAGTGCACGGACAGTGAGAAGGAGGCTGAAAGAAGAAAGGAGGCTGAAAAAGTGAAACACCTCTACAGCTAGTGTAACAACAAACACAATAGTTCGCCCTCGCCTCCGAACACGACGAGACCAACACAACGCGTACACAAGGTACACCCGCGTTCCAGGGCGGTTCTCACCGCCCCCAGCCACCGATTAGCTAAAAACACAGTCGACGGCCATCGGAGTCTCGGTCCGCACCGCAACCTATCGATGTTGCGGTGCGGACCGAGACGCGGCCATCGGGCCCTTAGATGATATGCCGTAGTTAAACGCACGCATGAGCACATGCGCGGCCTTAACCACAGCGGAGGGCCCAACCCAGGTTCTGCGCCAGATGAAGCTTTAATAGTCTCGGGACTGAAAGCACAAACATCAGTTAATACAAGATACTGTTACTATTCGAACTATTTTTTTAGGTGAAAAATTGTTCTCTGATCACTACATTACGACCACCCGTGGACATCCACAACTTCTTTGGGGTGGCAGATGCATTACAGACCTAAAAACAAGTTAAAGAAAAATAAAACGCCGTGTAGTAAAAGGTAGTAAAACTGTTCTTTAAATAATACAATGGTTTGCTGTTTACCCATGTCGCGTTGCAGGTTCGATTCCCACATAGTATCATAATTGAACCCTTTCTTAAGGCTTTATACTCTACTATTGGCTGTCACTAACTCAGTTGTTTATTTACAGTAGTATACAGGATAAGTTTTGGCTAGTAGTAGGCGCAGTAAGCGCCTGTAGGTCGTTAATATCCCCCAGTCGTGTTTCTATCTATTTTCATATCTGATCATATCTATTTTAAGAAAGAAGGTCATTGTATGCGCTAAGAGATTGCAACGTCTCTACGTAGTCTTCTCACAGTGAGGTAGGCCTATAAAAAGAAATATTTTTTTTAATATTTGTAAAAAAGTCTAGCTTGTTTATATGATAACATTGCGAAACATAGGGAATCAAGAGAAACTAATAAAGTATTCAGAGTGGAATCTTTATATTCGCGTCCTTAAAATTCTCCTCCTCAAATAAACATTACGCTTGAAAAAAAATCAGATATTAAAAGGATTCGGTGATTAATACAGTCTACATCTGATTTTAAAGTTAATTATTTAATGATGCGACTGTAAATGTTGCGTGACTTAAAACTTGCCTTTTTTATTTCTAATTAAAATCTAAGGTCTAAGTTAGTGGAAATTGCCGTGTTAATTTACTAATAACATATTCCATTAGTTGCGGGATAGAGCATTAGTTTTGTTTACAAATATTCGAGACACACTCGTATTATTTTGTATACGTGTAGTATTTGTGGTAATCTGTATGGTGTTTTTAAAATTGAAACGGGTATTTGACAAAACGACACTTATAAAATCTTTTCGAAGATACCATAAGCGTTACAGGATTATTAACTATTTTTAATTTTATTAATATACATAGTTTTAAGGAATAGCTCTGTAGTCTTCTCTATGCTCTATATTATATAAAATTAAAAAGATTTTGTTTTCTACGACTATGTTTGTTCTCCATTTCACGTTCACTAAAATTTCGTGCGTTAGAAACTAAAATAAACTACTTACGCTTACACGCTATCGACTGCGTTCCTATGTATACTCAAAGGTGACTTTTAGAAACATTTATATGAACTATTGAGTTCATTAAGGAATTCCAGTCAGGTGCAAATTTACGTATAGCAACGTGAAAATAATTTTCAAAATGGTTTTTACGCATCTGCGTAGTTATGCGGGTCCGCAATCAGTTTGTGGAAGTTTCCGTTGCAGCGGGTTCTTTGAACTGATCGGTAGGTTTCACTTGCCTCTTCTGCGTTAACTGCAGCGACAAGGTGTTGGAGCGAGCAACTTGTTGCCTAATGGCGCCTCTCAAATGGGTTAATTGACGAGGCCTGCTGAGAAGGAATAGATAATTAGTCTACGCATTTAACCTAACCTAACGAGGCATCCTTTTATTTATTAGTCTTTCCAGATGTTTAATTTTTTTAGGCTTATAATTGCTATTGTATACATAGCCATATGGCTCTGAGTACCTCGTCATTGTGTTTTAATCCTTAATTTAATCCATAACTGTAACAATTCATATTAATCTTTTTAGTGGTTTTGCTGCAGGTAATATTTATAGACACTTAAATATTTTGAAAATATGACTCAAGTACAATAAGTTTATTATTAAATTTATACCTCTCTATGGTCTCTCTCTAATTACTCTATGGTTTCGGACATTTCCTTTTTTTAATGTGAAAAGTTGCCAAAGGAGCAGACAGTTCACCTGATGTTAAGTGATTACCGCCGCCCATAGACATCTGCTACCCCCGAGGGTTTGCAGATGCGTTGACAACCTTTTTGTAAATTGGGCTCCGGCTACCTCACTCACCAGACGAAACGCGAAAGTATTTGTCATACTTCCACTTTACTCCGGTCTTCTGTGAGGTCGTGGTACTTAGACGAGCCTGCCCATTCGTGCAACAGCAGAGGCTGCTGCGTGGCCCTACCACCGAATTTTTTTTAGTATTTTAGGATTTATTAGTTTCTTTACTCTAATGATTTTTTTCTTGTATTCTTTTGGTCGATCATGGCATGATCTAATGCGAAATAAATGCGATTCTTATGCGTAACCAATAGCACCTAAATTGCGTTGTATTAAGAGCAATTAGGTTGTATCTGCGACTAAATTAGAAAAAAAAAACAGGTTATTTTAATTGAATCCTCGTAAAAGTATATCTTCCAAGTTTAATTTAAATTGTTAATTAAATAGATCCACGCTTCTGACTAAAGCAAACAGATAGAATAAATAAAACAATTGTCACAGTTATTTGCCTAACGCATTATTGTTATATTGGATGGAAAATTATTTTCCGAGAATTTTATTTATTTATTTAATCTTTATTGCCAACCTTCAGTAAAAAGGTAACAAAGGGCGGACTTAATGCCCAAAGACATTCTCTACCGGTCAACCCAGGATGTGGTGAGAGTTTATGGTAGTTGCAGCAAAAGATGCAAGAATAATAAAATTTTAATTAAAGAGACTATATATATGAAAATAATATTATAATTGGATACAAATTATATATATATATATATATATATATATATATATATATATATATATATAAAGATGTATACTTGTATAAATAAATAACATTTTATAACGCCCATGATTTAGGTTTATTAAAAATATATCTCAATCCTTATAAGACGAACGCATCGTCGCGGAAGAGTGTTAAAAACTCCAGTATTTGAGGCACAGACGTGTCGTGAACACAAATAACATGTGCGTTACAGGACCGTTATGTGCCGTATACAATTATAACAGAGCGGCCCCTCGACGATCCTAAGATACTTGTCGATTGTTCGTTACAAAACTCTCTGAACCACATACAAATGTGTCCGGGTGTATTTTCGCTATTACAAAAGTGCACTGATTGTTCCATTATCGTATCGACATTGTGAATAGACGGAAGTATGCCGCCGTTGCATAATGCGCTTAGCTCAGTAATTATTTTCCGATTGATTAAGTGATTTTCGGCGCTCGTACGGAGCGGCTGTTATGGCGCGAGTGCGGAGTGCGGTGCGCTATATAGGCGGGAAGGCAGCGCGCGGCCGCGTACTCGTAGGCTGTGTTTGTTGTGCGCATGCCGGCTTTTGCTGTGTTTGCCGCGCGGACGCAACGCCGCGTTCAACTGTTGTGACGATAAAAAAAAAGAAAATTTATTTGATAGTATTTTATTTATATAACAATTTTGATTTTATTCTTTATTATCATAGTATTTTTTTTAAAAAAGGTTCCTAAGAGTTTAGATATTTTGACATAATTTAGTGTAATTTTTATGGTGCTCGATTTGTACTCAAAATGTTGACTGGATGGAAATTACTTTTGTCAAAACGTAAGTTTTTTGAATTTTTCTATAGTTTATCAACCAGTTATTTTCGACTTTTCATGATACTTAAATCCTGAAATAAATTTGTAACCAAATCTATGGCCTTTTGTATTTGCAATTGTGAAATAGACGTCTTTTAAATGTATGGTAATTAAGAAGAAAATATTTTACATTAAAATGTATGACATTATTACCATAAGGGTTTTTAGTTATACAGGTTATATGAAATATGTATAGAGTTATGTTTTAAGAATATCGATAACCGCACACTTAATTTTAGACGTGTTCATGAAGGTTTATAAGTAAAATATTAAACAAAATTAACAGGGCGATTTAAAAATAACCTTTCTTGATTCATTAGATACATATCTTATTTTTATAGATAAATCTGCCAATAAAACGCAAAAAATATGATTAAGCTTACTACGCTAACTTTATTATTTATAATAATTTGATCGCCATTTAGTGATTATGAGCCGATGTGGCTTTATGATGGGGTTTGCTTTTTTATGTCACCCGCATCCTTCAACAATCACACATTGAAGCAGGTTACTGCACCGGATTGGGTGACCTCGACCTCATAGATTTTAAATATACACATTTTACGAATTTTTGAACATTTTATTGGAACAATATTTTCATTCTGTGAAATTTTGTGATCATTAGTTCATTAACAGAGATCGAATGGAGTTTGTTCCGATAGAAACACGAAAATATTTTTTTTTGTGTTTGACTCACTTTGACTTAACAAGGCATTGGATTATTATTTTATAAATATAAAAACAAGCAAATTTAATTTTAAATTAATTAATCAATTCTTTCAAAGTACTCTATGTGCAACTCTTTATTTTTATGTACAGTCTTAATTATATTCGTCGTCCTTATTTTATATTTAATTGCATCAATAAGTCCCAAATGTCTTAATTGTAATGCGTCGATTATAATCGAGTCTATTCCGAGTTATCTCTACTTTTTAGGTACAAGTACATTCGTAATTGCAATAAGGATAAATATTAAATTGAAATCTTTTATCACTTGCTATACAAGCGGTTACTAAAGTATGAAGTTAAGTAAAAAAGTTAAAGTACTAAAGTTAAGGCACTGAGTAAAAACATTTTTATTTGCAAGTTATCTCGAGTTGAGAGGAAAAGGACATATTTTTCTTCAGTCACTAAAGTGTTATTTGAATAAGAAATAATAATATTTGATAAATGGAGAAAAATAGAAAAAAAGAAATGAATACAATAAAATAATAAATGGAAGATTACAAAAAGAAATTTGCATTAAATATTATTTATTCGTCTTATCTTTGATTCATTAGATTAGACGAATGTATAAAAAATGTATGTATTATTATTATTTACGTACAGTAAGAATTTATACTACATTTTACATTTTAACATTGTTTCTTGCGTAATAAAAGAAAAAAAAATATGCCGTGTCAGAAAGAATAGACAACGGTTTATTAAATAACTTGGAATTTAATGGTAATACCGTGAAGTTAGTCGAAGTTGCTCGCTCGCTTGCTTTACAAGCAACTTCATTAGTCTTCATTATGTCCGTGTCTTATTTTTTACGAACGCGCCAAAAGAAGTATAACTTCAATATTCAGTATATTTCTTTTTGTTATGTTTTTACGGAATCAATTTGATTTAAATGTTTTTAAATAAAGTATTTCCAAATTTTGTAAAGCTCTACATCTCAGTTTTAGTTTTAGTTAGTAGTAGTTAACGAAATTGGGTGTCAAGAATACTTCTGAAACGTCAAAACGTTTATCTTGTATTGACTGATGTTTTTGCTTTCAGTTCCGAGACTATTAAAGCTTCATCTGACGCAGAACCGGTGGGCTAGAAAGCCAGAACCCACGGGCCAAAACGTTTAGTTACGTTTGTTGGTTGGTAATTTTGTGTAAAGAGTTTGAATAAAAATAAAATAAAATAGTAGAACACATAATTCTCCATTAAACTAGCATCCGCGTAATTACCGTCAGAGCTAGAGCGTTATTATATTCCTAATTACAATGTGACAGAAAATGTAGTTTTAATAGCCAGCACGTTTCTCCGCCGTTAACGTTTACTCACGTGAAACTTTAATAGCATTAACCTAATTATCTTTCAATGTGACAAATGAACCAAAAACATTTTCCCATAGTGAACACAAATCGTGAATGTACTAAATGTTGATTTTGCGGAAAGCTTACGTGAAAGTTTATTCTCTAAACTTATTACAATCAGTATAAAATCACGTCATAGACAGATATTAAGAACTATTCAGTCCGATGGTTTCGTGAGATAGTTAGCCAGACCCTTATAATTTAAATATCGCTTAGCTCATATGATATCAAAACACGTTAAGCGGTTATTAGTCTAGCGTCCAAGTATACCCAATAAAATGGAAGTCGGTGATTTGTTTATATAAGGTTTAAAAATAAAACAAAACGTTAATGAGCACTCGGTTATATTAAGTACTATGAACTCAAACTCAACTGAATAGTCACGCAATATTAAATGGTAAATATTAATTGAGACTCCTCATATAGGTTGTGTGTAAAACTAGTTTAGGCAAAGCAAGATTTATTCGTATCACACTCAATAGCGGTTCTTTAATATTTAAATATAGTTAAAGAATTTATTATAATACCATTAATTATCATCTCGTTTAGAAACTACGTGTTCTAAGCTTCGTTTGTTGTTAAATTAGATGCCATTACAGGACGTAAGTAATATTGAAAATTGTTCTTAAGACTGTTAATAAAAATTGATCCGGGTGATGAAAAACGAAAGATCTTTCGTACATCATAATGGATATATGTATATAATTCATAGCAAGAGGAATTATATATAAAGACATACAATATAATTCCTTCTGATAATTATGCTGATTGCTCTTTCAAGTTGTTTTTTGAATAAAAGATAGCCAATATTATTAGCTATTAGATATTGATAATGGATATAGGTTATTTTTCTTTTTTTAGTGACGTATGTTTTCGCTTTTAGTCTGTAGACTATTCAACCTTCAAGCTTCTTAGTAAGATACCTGAGAGCATAATAGAGCACAAAAAAATTTTTGGGGCTGTTGGTAAGATATCACATAATTTCTTTGAGGATACTGCAGAATCAGTAAAAAAAATTATGCGTCTTCTCCCTCTTCCAACAGAAGTCCTCAAGATAAGTTTTTATCAAACAGCATTCCGGGTTCTTCACGATTATTAGTAGGAGTTAAATTTTCGTCAAAGTTATCTTTGGGAATCAGTTCCAAATTAGTCTTAATTAACTTCTTACGTTCTAGACGAACCGATAACCGTAATTTGTGTGTTTACGGGATTCATTATAAAAAATGAAATTACCTGAAACTTGAATGTTTTTATATTGCTAATCCCTACAATTATGATAAAATAGTAAAACTATGGGTTCGACTCCCGCAGGTTTTGGCGGCAAGATGGGTTCGATCCCGCAGCGGAGAAAAACTTTCGTCCATTAAAACTCATTTTACTTGAAACTTTTGAAACAATTAAAAAACATTTTTCAATATTTTACAGCAATGTAGGTAATATTGAAATAATAGTACAACTATTGCCGAAACAATAAATTAATGTTTGTGTTGAAACTTTCGTAAGTTGATTTGTGAACGCCGGTGTCGGTAACTGGTACAAAAAGAATTTCAGAAACGTCTAACGGTCACTTTTTTATTTACCTAAGTACGTGGCATTGTAACGCATGAGCAGACCTTACAATGAATAAGATAACGATAAATTAATCATGTCTTCTTCAAAATCTACAAGAAGTGGTTGGAATGTTCGGTATAATATAATATACTAGCTGCTGCTCGAGACTACGTCCGCTTAGAATAGGCGTAACAATCAGCCAGAAGAAGAATACATAAAAATATGTATGTAAATTATAGCCTGTCTTTTTTTAGAAATTTAAAATTTTTACAGTGCTAATCTCTGCACTTAAGATTGAACATTAAAATATGTAGAAAAAGTACGAAAAGATTGTCGCCGCTGTGGGAATCGAACCCACATCTTCGGCATTCGCGGCCTGACGCTGAACAGCCGCACCGACGAAAATCTTAACGTGTTTTGTCTACATTGTTTCTTAGCATTTGAAGCAATGCTTGGCGCATCCATTGTTATATCCTTTCCAGCATACAAATCCAAGCATACATACCAAATCACCGTAGTTTCACTTTGCAAAACAATAACACTGGCATAATAACTTATTTTATCACTTTTAAACTAAAGAACCACAACTCTTAGGACTTTATTTATGATACCGATTGGGCAGCACTATCATGTATACTTCTTGCTGACAGCCAAAGAAGAAAACCATGAAATGCTTCGTGCAGCTTGATTTATACCTCATAGAATGACACTTCTTTTAGTGATGCCAACAAACTCAAGGAATGACTTATTTTAATGTTGCCAACATATAAATGAATAAATACTTAAAAATGAACCGACAACAAGTGCAGCAAATTAATCAGGGTAGCATTTTATAGCCGACAAGGTTAACCACAACGTTCACATCCTATCCGTAGTACTAAAAGTTAACATTGCAGTTTTTAGAGCGTGAACGCTCTCAAACTATACTCGTATAACACGTTACCCGCATTACAACCTCTTCGAAAAATGAAAGATAATTTGTCATTCCCATTTTAGCATTTGCATTTAGATGTATACAGGCTGTTACTTTAACAGCCTGTATACATCCCACTGCTGGGTGCAAAGGCCTCTCTGTACAGAGGGTATTAGGGCATAGTCCACCACGCGGCCCAACTGCGGATTGGCGAACTTCAGATATCCGCGAGAAATTTTTTATTATCTAAAAAATACCAAGGTTTTCTCATGATATTTACGTTTCTCCGCTGAGCACGTGATATGACAGCAATTAAAATTGACAATTTCATTGGTGCCGGCATTGGGTATTAGATGTCGGATATTAGATGTTTTTCTTCACCATTCCGAGTGCGTGCCATATCAGCACCGAGATGGAGACGGTTCGTAT